TGTATGCGAATTTTGTAAATTAAAATAGTGGTAGTAATTATAGTTGAGCACTATTTTTCTCCTTGCCTTTTGTCCTTACGCTATTTTGTTCTGCGCTATTTTGTCTTTGCGTTATTTTGTCTTTGCGCTATTTTGTCTTTGCGCTGTTTTGTCCTTGCGCTATTTTGTCCTGCGCTATTTTGTCCTTGCGCTATTTTGTCTTGCGCTATTTTGTCCTGCGCTATTTTGTCCTTGCGCTATTTTGTCCTGCGCTGTTTTGTCATGGAGCCATTAATGCAATGTAACGCTTTCGCACTTGCCATCATATCGGCGTCATGTCGTTACAGGTGCCAACATGTCGGTGGGTAGCAGCCTTCCCTATCGTGTCGTGCTGACAGCATATAGATTCGTCAATATATAATCAAATGTATCCTTACTCGTTCGAAAATAATTAAAAAACTTGTTCGGGGCCTCAACTAACTTTTCAAACAATGTATAGAAGGTGCCCTCCAAATACCTAGTTTTGATAATAGGATGCACCCAAAACCGTCTTCGGTTTCTCTTTGTTTTTCGCCTTAAGTACAATAAATATAGCAAATATAAATTGTTACCTGCTGGCATTATTACTTTTCTTTATATATTATTATTTAGGTATGTTTATTCTTTTTTATCAACCACCATAAAAAAATCCGGCCATATCTCGGGACTGTATTGTCGAATAAATTTTTTTGGTGTGAAAGATCAATAGCCGATATCGTATCAGTGTTGCTGTCGTGTCGTTAGGTCTGAAAACGCTCATTAAGTCAGCGTCCATACATAGAAAAAATGTTAAACAGATTTAACATGGACAATTCAAATCCAGTGGATACTCCTTCATCAGTAAGTGAAAAATTGTCAGAAAGTCAATCACCTATCAGTGCCGATGAACATAAAAAAAATGGAGTCAGTGCCATATCAAGAAGCTGTTGGCAGTTTGTTATTTGCTTCACAAATTTCAAGTTCAAGACCTGATATTTGTCATGCTGTCAATTGTGTGAGTAGATTTAATCAGAATCCTGGTCCTGCTCATTGGTCTGCTGTAAAACGAATACTTCGATATCTAAAAGGGACTATTGATTATAAACTCGAATATATAATTGGTTATTGTGATGCAGACTGGGCTTATGATCAAGATGATAGAAGATCGGTGACTGGATATTGTCACAATTTCAAAACAATGTAGCGCTCTCCACTACGGAAGCTGAATATATGTCTATGTCATCAGCAGCTCAAGAGGCTTTATGGCTTCGTGGATTAAGCAGAGAGTTAAGTTTGACCTCAGAACCAACTCTGTTATATGTTAGTTAAGTTATTTTAGTATTAAAACTTATTTTTAAAAACAAAACTTTATTTTTATTGTACAACGGAATAGTGGTTTACTCGACAGAGGTTAAAACAAGAATGAATCTAATGTTAACAAGAATTATCTACAAGAAATATGATATCTGTACAACGTCACTATTATTTATGTGATATGGCAAAATGTCTTTATATAACTTGTTGATAATCAAGCAGCTCAGAAGTTAGCTTTAAATGGAGCCTATCAAGCCCGCTCTAAACATATCGATGTGCGTCATCATTTTTTAAAGGAAAAATAAATGATGGACTTTTAATTTTAAAATACGTGCCTACTAATCCATGATTGCCGATTCGTTGACAAAATCTTCGGACAGATTTAAGTTTTTAAAGTGTGTGAAAAGTCAAGGACTTATTTCAAATAGGGAGGGTGTAGAAACATATTTGAAATAAGAAGAAAAAGAAGATTTTCTAACTTATCCAAAAATTTCACTTGTCACTTGTCTTTATATTGTCATACTAAAAACACATGTGTTAGTAAAGTATTTTCAACATCTTTCTTTAGTTTTTACCCCATCCTCAACAACTTTCTTCAGTTTTTACCCCATCCTCAACAACTTTAACAACAGTCCGCACCTTTGCATTATACTGTTGCGTCATACGTAAGTCAAACTGAAGATAGTGAAGCTAGTCAGTTTTATTAAAAAAGCTTCTTTTAAATTATATAAAATTATTTTCATTCAGTCAGTCTTGACAAATCAAAGTACAACTTTTTCATTACACTTTTCTGTTACTCGAAGTCAGGGGTGTGAAACTGGTATGCGCAGGCCTGGGATAGAGCAAAAATCAACCACGTCCGCAAGGTGGCGCTGCCGTCGTGTGGTGGAATATGTGGTGGGAGTGTAACGGACAGGTGAAGTGGGTGAAGTGAATATTGATTTTTGTGAAGTGTGTCATGGTGTCTTGGCTTAAACCAAACGAGAATGTTGTTTATTTATATTGTGGTTGTATTCAGTTGTGTTTTCATTTCCAATTTGCTTAAGTGATTTAGTTGACCACAGTTAATAAGCTTGTTTTTCCATTATAAAGTGCTTTTTGAGCTGTTATCTTGTGCTTTTTCCGCTGTTATTTTGTGCTTTTCCATAAAGATTCGTAATTATAGAAAATGTTGTGTACCGAATTGCCTTGATGTGGACAACAAGATGCATTGCCTGCCCTACCCTACGAATTCACCCGATTTATTTGATATTTGGGCACTTGCTGTTCGTTGTCCAAGATTTAATAATAAAACAAGACTACAAATTTATTCCACCTTTGTAGTATGTCATAAACATTTTGAAGAGAAGTATAAAGTAGTTGGCTCTCGTCGAGGTCTAACGCCTGAAGCTTTCCAATGCTATTCCTCCCAGCAGTTCCTGGAAGAGTAGCGGATGGACTTTCCTCAAATAACGTAGAAATTGAATATGTTGATCAAATACCTTCTACTTCAAGTAAAGGTTCGAAGAAGAAGCAGACTAATAATATATGTTGAGCTTCTTTTCGAGAAGGAAAGTTAGTAATCTACTCATTTATTTTATACTTATACTTTGTATTTTTTTGCAATAAAAAATACATAAGATACAGTACACTTACATGTCAACTTTACAAAACATAATAAAAGGACAAGAAAGAGAAAAAAACGTCAATAGGTCAACAGGTATTCAGGCAGTTTTATTTTAAATATTGCCGCGTTTGAAGAACATTTAATATATTCAGGCAAATTATTAAAAGTCTGTACACCTTTAAAAAACACTGAATTTTGTGTACATTTTTTCGTGGCCTTATAAACTCTAAAATTTTTCTTATTACTTGTATTATGTTCATGAACATCCTGATTATAACTTAAAATATTTTGTAAATATACTGGGGAGATTCCTGATTTAATTTTAAATATAAAAAGCAGGGAATAGAATAGCAAATATTTTTTAACAGGCAACCACTGAAGCACATTCAACATGGAATTGATTGGTTCCAATCTCGAGCAGCTGAGTATTATCCTCATACCTCTATTCTGCAACTTTTGCAATCGTTGCAACTCATTCTGGTTGAGCAAATACAGTATAGTGGCACAATAATTAAAATGAGGTAATAATAGAGTATTATAAATTATTATTTTAGCCCATTTGCTGAGATGTGGAGAACATCGCCTCAAATAGTTTATTTTAAATCGGACACATCTGTCCCATTACATTTACGTATACTGAATCAGGTGATCAAAGATTTACTACATCTCAGATGCATTTGATGTGGATTCTCAAACGCGGCATATACTGTGTAATCTCTGTTTCATGACGTTTGGGGTTTCAAAGCTGTATCATAGATGTTGGACTTATTAAAAAATAAAGTATTCCTCGGACTTATAATTTTTTATTAATACATTTATTTTAATGAGATTGTACTTATACTGTCTTTCTTTTTTCACAGATAAAGTTCTTCACAAAATGATGGACAGTGTTGTATCCTGGAATATGTAGCAGCCATCCAGCTACTTCATACATATTACAATTTTCATATACATTACATTTTTTAAATATTGGATTTTTTATTTTATATATATTCTTTAATAAATTTATTTTTTGAATATGCTTTTTTTATCTAAAAAGTGTTAGCCAAATTAAGATTTGTTCACACATACTGCATTTTTGCTTTATTATAGCGAATTGTGAACAAATCTTAATTTGGCTAACAGTTTTTAATGCGGATAATTTTTACTGTCAAATTTGAATAGCCCCGCGCTTTTTTTCTCTTCTTCTTTTTATTATTTTCTCTTCTTTCATATGGCCTCTTACCAGACAAGGACTTAATTGAAAAAATCAACCACGTCCACCAGGTGCCGCTGAAAATTATATCATCCTTTTTAACATGGGAGATACCGTTCTAAGAGTAAGTGTTCTGTGCATTCACCTGTCATATAGCAAAATAGTGTTTATGTGGTCACTACTTTGTTCTATCTCGATGGTCGTCCCAGATCGACCGACGTTCATTTGCGATTCAAGCTAAGTTATACGTCCTATAGAGAACTTATTCCTTTCGTTTAATAAATCTAGAATTTTATCGGAATTTTTCAAGGTAGGTAATATCTACTTTTAACCCAATCCTTAGCTTTGTAGATTAAAACTTGTATGCAAGTATGGAAACCAATATTTCTCAGCAGTATCAACACCAGAAGTCAGCTTACAAGGTATATTTTAAATTATAACCACAAATCGCAACTGGTTCAAAAACAATGATCAACCGCGCCCCATGTGATCGTGGCCCTTAAATTGACTACCATTTATTTCCTGGATTAACGGTGCGATTTGTAATATAATCGGTGACCTGGAATTCATGCCTTCGCCTTCAACAAGGTATGTTACCTTCACTGTATAGTGTTCTGAGGTGATAGCTCATTGTAATGAACTGCTAGATGTCCGGATTATCTAGTAATAAACTTTCAGATCTTTTATTAGTGGAGAACGAAGTTCCGCAGGGGTCTATTTTTGGACTGTTGTTATTCGTCGTATACATATGAGCTTCGAAAACATATTAGTTAATTGGAACATTTGTGAGGACAAATTATGTTTTGCAATAATTAACCTCAAAACCAGTAAACCATAGACGTGCATTTTCAAGATAAAGCGAAATTAAAGACTACAACATTTCGTAGTATATTTATTAAAATAAAAAATATTTTCTTATTTAATTATGGATATTTACACTCTCTTAACTATATCTAAGTAAGTTTTGTCCAACGGAGAATATGATGAGAATATGTTTATTCCATATTTAAATATGGAGAAAAAAATATATTTAGTGTTGATACATCAGCTTGTTAAAGATTCACTCTGTAATCTATAGAACTTATAATAAAATCCTTTTATTTTGAAAAGTTCTTCATGTGTTCCCATTTCTACAATAGCACCATCCTTTAGAACGCAAATAATATCGGCATCTTGTATTGTCGTCAAACGATGAGCTATTGTTATGCAAGTACGTCCTTTTCTTGCCTTATCCAAAGCTTCTTGAACAATCTAAAAAATAATACAATAAGTATTAATTTACTTTACAAGACCGGAAAGTAGTGAGAGAACTGCTTAACACTAATTTTCGGTCGCGTGACGTACAATGTTATTTTCTGGACAATATTTCGTCCAGAAAATAACGTTTTGCCGATCAAGACCGGAAAGTAGACGTTAGGGACCGATATAAGCTTTACCGATCCCTGTTTTTCATTTCTCCGATCGCTGTTTGATAATACAGTCTGCCTTGGTATAGTATAGTAACAACGTTTCGAGTTTTTGCCTAGTGACAGTTCGTTAAGTTTTAATTTGTTGTTTATGTGAAACTTGTTTTCGCAAATTTAAATATCTGTGGTTGCAGGGTAAAACTGCTTAAATCGAGATATGACCATATTGAGTTAATTACAGTATCTAGGAGAATTTCTTGATTTTCTTTGATTAAAACAACCAAAGTATCAAGACGCTTCTTCTTAAAACTGCTAAGAATCTTTTGTTATCTTAAAACAAGAATCAACGTCTTAAAAAGTTTTACCACGCAGCCGCAGAAATATGGATTCAGATTTTGAATTATCTGACATAGAAATTGAAATTCCAGAAGAAATATAATTGAGTTTACATCGAAGTGTCGGTCTTAACAAAATATACGTCACGCGACCGAAAATTAGTGTTAAGCAGGTCTCTCCAAGCTTCCAGGTCTCGCCTATGGCTCGCCCTGGAATCTGCTTGTCTTGACCTGCAAAACAATACTTTCCAGTCTTGCGACTTAAATTACTATTACCAGTCCCTAACGTTTACTTTCCGGTCTTGATCGGTAAAACTTTATTGTCTGGACGAAAAATTGTTCAGAAAGTGTATATTTTTGGTCGATTTAAAAAAATAAATAACAACACTACAATCTAGAACAGCCATACTCAACCTTTTTTCCCTTAGGGCCACATTCGTATGTTTGCTATGTTACACGGGCCGCAATAAAACACTAAACATAAATATATCCCGTCGGGTTACTGCAAAAACAAGATAACTCACATTTTTAGAGTTTTGATAACACACAAACATAAATATATCCCGTCGGGTTACTTCAAAAACAAGATAACTCACTTTTTTAGAGTTTCGATAGAACACTGTTTAAAAGTTTAAAATTAAATAACAAATTAGTAAAACCTTCAAAGTGTATATTAAATAATAACTTCAATGAAAAATGTATTAAAAACATAGTTCACAAAGAAACTATCAATAATTGGTCAAAAAAAAAGGAAAAAACGTCACTTAGCTTATTTTAGCTCTACATACAAATCATAATTCAATGTATGTGTCACTATCTTCAATCGAAGATTCAGATACGGTGCCCTTAACATGGATACAGGTAGATTGTGATAATAATGGTGAAATTCATCGGGTGTAACACCTGATTTAGCAAAATTTTAGTAAATCTTTCTTCTTGCGCTTTTTTGTATTTTCAAAACTTTGTTTCATCGTTTCATGCATCCCTCTGAATAAATAGTGTGCGAATTTGGCATATAAATCCGAATGCCACTCTCGCCCATTAATAAATTAAATCTATTTTTCTGGTGAAATGTATTTAAGATAGCCCGAATCTTTCGATACAAGTTGTCTATTAGAGAATATGGTTAAAATTCAAATTCACCTGTTACCACTAATACTTTTATTTACGAATTTTCAGCTTGACCAATCACTCGTTACAGCTCGACCAATAACCCGTTACATCTTGACCAATCACTCGTTCACCACGGAGATCCGGACATCACGTGTTATTATCTAGTGGTTATTGAAGATTAGCTGTATCGCGGAAAGAAAGGGTGACGTAATCATCTCGTGGATTTCGGAACAATTGAGAACGGCCAGGGACGGCTCTAGTCATAACAAAACAAATGCCTTGGACACAATGTTGCAGTATTTCCACAAACACATTCAACAAAAATAAGTACAGGGCCCTCGAGAGGTCACAATTCCGGGCCTATTATAAGCTAGGAAGGGTGACCTTCAGGGTCCTAAGGCGGCCTGGCGAGGATCAGGATAATCCAGATCAACCTCCAGCACTGTAAAGCTGCTTCGGAGGTACTTACAGTGGCGATGGGGAGGTTTGAAGTGGCCCTGGTACAAGAACCGTGGATTAGACACGGTACAATAAGAGGTTTAGGAGGGTTGGGTGGAGAGTTAATATATGACAGATCTACAGACACCCCTTGAACCTGCATAATTGTCAAAAAAGGCATAAAAATACTGCCGTTAACTAATTTCTGTTCCAGAGATTTGACAGCAGTCGAGATCGATGCAGGAAATGGACCGAAGGAGGTAATACTCGGATCGGCATATCTACCTTCAGACGATCCTGAAGCAACACCTACCAGAGAAGTGGAGGAGCTGGTGAGATTCTGCAGGCGCAACGGAATGCAGATGATCATTGGCTGTGATGCAAACGCACACCACAGGATCTGGGGGAGCACTGATACCAACGAAAGAGGTGAGTCTTTACTACAATTTATTATGGCAAATAATTTAGACATAACAAATGTAGGCAATAAACCGACCTTTATAACAAAAAACAGAAAGAAGGTACTAGATGTAACAATAGCATCAACATACTTGAGTAATTTTGTTACAGACTGGCATGCGTCTGACGAAGAGAGTTTATCAGATCACAGACACATAAACTTCAATATTAAAGGTAATATTGCAAAAGAAACTTATCGGAATCCCAGGAAAACAGACTGGGAGGCATACAATACTTCCCTGGAATGTAATCTTCCGAAGATGAGAAAGACGATAAGAACAACAACCGACCTAGAAATGGCTGTGGATGAGTTTAATGACACAGTCACTAGCGCTTTCAACGATACCTGTACAATCACTCTAATTGCTGTTCACTGGTAAACGACCCATGTCTCCTCATGAGGGTCTGCAAGTCGGTAATGTAAGAAGTGACGGGTTCGTTCCTACGTTGCAGTCGACGGCTAATCTCGGATTCCAGGTCCAACTGATAGGACACTGAAAAAAAGAATATACTGAAATCGGCCTCGAAGGCCTCCCAGGTTGACCAATTTTCGGTTATTACGGAACCACAAGGCGGGTTCATCGGTTAGTAGTTCGGGGATGTACGGCAGTAGTCGGTCCTTGGCAATTCCCTTGGAAATGCAAATTTCGTCAAGGCGTTCCAAAAATGCGGCTGGATCATCACGGTTTACAAACGACAGGTTCCACTCGTGCGTTTGGATAGGTACGGGCCTAACGGAGGGCAGTGGGGGTGTCATGGCGGGGTAGAACGGTTTTCTCACAGAAAAGAAAAAAGAGAAAAAAAATTCGGAGAAAAAGAAGATTAACAGAAAATAAATTCGGAGAAAAAGGAGAGAGAAAAAAATCTACCCTTATTCTGGGGGTGGAAAACCTTTAGCAGTACGGTCCCTGCTCGGGCGCCATTTGTGACAGGCTCCTGGTTCACCTACAGTGAATCAGCGAGTCTGTGTGGCACTATGAATGTAATTCCCGAATAGGGGTTACTCAGGCGCCAGTTTTGGTATCGCAGTTTGCTCTGCGACCCTGTGGTACACCAGAGTGTACTCAAGGTGAACTCAGTGGAGGTAAAAATAATTCCAGGCGGTCACTGCTAGGTAACCACTATACTAGAATAAATAAAAATAAAACACTTATCTCCTTTACACCTCGTATCCTACGGTACCCTTTAGAAAAATAAACGGGGTTGATCGATGAACTAATTCACGGAACTCACGGCACTAGGTACTAACTAAGGGTGAATAGTTTTCGGCTGTCGGCAATCACGAGAGAAGAGCTTACGGCGGCTGTCAAGCGAGGAGAGAGTTAATTCCTAGATGGGATTTAATTTATGCTTTTTCGGTAAAGCAAGATGGAAGATTAGTAGGGAGTGGGAGAATACCACCACCACAGCTGACTGTTTACAATTCAGAAATACAAAAAATGTCCTTCTAGTCCTTGACAAATAAAAGGTAGATAATCCATACGAAATCGACTCTAAAAATGCCCATTCGGATTTCGGCAAATATAAGAATATTTTAATCTACGGGGGTACTCGCAATTGTTGAAAAACGGTAATTCTTGGGAAACAGAAATACGGGGGAACTTCTACATGTTCTCAGGCGGGAATTAATTGAAATATACATTTTTAAGATGAATTAAAAATAAAATTTAGTGACTTCGTCACAAAGGGGAGGCAAGATTAGGTGCTTACAGATTAGGGAATACACTGCGAAATCTTGACATTAGGCCAGGTCACATGAGTATCTCAAGGTTAGTGACAGGAGACGTGCTAGACATGAGATCAGACCACATAACCAAGAGGTACTCTTTTAATACTCCCTTTGAGGTTTTAATACAGGAAAGAGCGGAGATCACCATAAGGGAGCCCAATGCCCAACAACAGGAAAAAACCTGGTATACAGACGGGTCTAAGACTGCGGAAGGCACTGGGGCAGGAGTATTCTCCAAAAACCCTGATACTAACCATAGCTATGCTATAGGAATACATTCATCGGTCTTTCAGGCCGAGGTATACGCAATTTTGCAATGTGCAAAAACGAACAATGAAAGAGCTGTCGAAAATCAGCATATTCAAATAATGTCAGACAGCCAAGCGGCACTTAAGGCCATATCGAGTCAGAAAGTTACGTCGAGGCTGGTATGGGAATGCATCGTCGAACTAAGAACACTAGCAGACCGAAATAGAGTAAAACTATTTTGGGTGCCAGGTCACAAAGGGATCGAAGGCAACGAAAAGGCTGACGAACTTGCAAAAAGAGGGTCAGAAGAAACACCGGAACCAGACACAAACCCAGGAGTACCAAAAAGTACAGTCCGGGGTTTTATAAATGACTGGATTCGGGAACAACATATCAACTATTGGGGAAGCACCCTAAAACAGGCACATGGAAAAGCCTTCATAGGCAGACCATGACCCAAAAGAACTAGAGAACTACTCTTAATGAATAGGAACCAGTTGAAAGTGATAACAGGGTTCATGACTGGGCACGCCCCAGTAAAGGGACACTTGAACAAAATTGGCATGTACAATGGGGAACTCATGTGCCGACTATGTCACAAGAAAACCAGAAACGGCCAAACACATACTGTGCGAATGCGAAGCTCTAGATCGCAAAAGACAGGCTCTTTTTGGACAATTCCAGGTTGATCCAACAACGTATAGAACCCACTCACCCAAAGATCTGTACAAACTTGTACAAGGTACAAAGGTGATAGAGTGGGTGCTATGAACTAACATGGGATAAAACACAATAAGCCAATAGGCTTCAGTGTTATTCGGAGACACATAGTCAGACGAGCCCAGGGAAAAAAATCTGATGTGTCCAACACATGACTTTCCTATCTAGTTATTACAGGCTTTTTCCGGTTATTTTGTACAACCTATTGCAGCACCTCCATAAATGTTTAGAGGATAAAATAAATATATACATTTTCCACATACATCTACCTCGAAATATTTTTCTATAGATATTCATTGAAAATTAAAATACTGAAAATTTAAATTTACCACATTTCCTACAATTTTTCCATTACGGTCCATTTTAGAAAAATCATGTTATAACAAAAATTATAGAGATCGATATCGCAAACAACTTTAAGTTCAACAATTTTCATAAAAATCAGAATTTTGCACATTTTGTCAAATTTCTCGAATACGGACCATTTCAGGAAATTTTGACATAAAACAAAAATTATAGATAATAATATTAGAAGTAACTTTTATTTGAACAATTTTCTTCTCCAAACATAAATAACAGATATATTCTATAAAATATAAAGACGGCCTCCCATAAAGTACCCCCCTAGATGTTCCGACTTTGTCCAAAATCTAATCATTTTACGTCAGGCCGAAATAAACCTTAAGTTTAAAATTTAATGTTTTTTTCTTTATCCGTTTTTGAGTTTTCTTCAAAATTCGAAATTTACACATTTTCTCAAATATCTCGAATACGGTCCATTTTAGAGAAATTATGTATAGAATAAAAATTATAGAGAATTATATAACAAACAACTTTTATTTGAACAATTTTTATAAAAAAATATTTTTTTTACATTTTGTCAAATTTCTCGAATACGGACCATTTTAGGAAAATTTTGTATAAAACAAAAATTATAGATAATTATATTAGAAGTAACTTTTATTTGAAGAATTTTTTTCTCCAAACGTAAATAACAGATATATTCCATAAAATATAAAAATGACCACCCATAAAGTACCCCCCCAGATGTTCCGACTCTGCTCAAAATCTAATCAGCTCATTAGACGTTGGAATAAAGCTTAAGTTTAAAATTTGGTGTTTTTCTGTGTATCGGTTCATGAGTTATGCGACCTACAGACACACACAGACACACAAACGGATTCAGGGGACCTCAAAACGTAAAAATCCGTCGAAAACTCGAGGTCGAAAAAAATCATGATTCCTATACTTTCCTTATATCTGTATACAGATAGGAAAGTAAAAAATAAGTGGCGGTAAACCACTCCCGAAATGCTGGTTCGATTTCACTCGAAATAAGTACAAATTTTCTCGAAAATTCCAAAATCATCATCGAAAATAATGGTCGAAATTATCACCGAAATCAATTCGTCGCTCAAAACTGTAAATGCCGAGAAAAAATATCATCGTATAAAATTAAGGTGGATTTTCAGTGAAATCACCGAAATCACATAAAACGCTTCTATGTGATTTTCGAAATACAGGTACGTTTTGACCTTAGTGGTTTCCCCTCGGTTCTGGCCTTTATCTTGTTTTGGCAAAAACACTATTAGGAATCGGACTAAATATATTTAGCAAAAATAAGTTATATGCTTATTCTATGGTTTTGGTAGACACACTTAGCAATTGAACACAATGTTATGATTATGTTTTGGTATAAATGCCACTCCATCTTCTTTGTGAATATTTGTTAATGTATTAATATGGAGTTAGTTTTTAATGGCTCTGTTAATCATGAATATAGACTTTGTTCACACTTGTAGAAAGTGTACTTAACTCAAAAAAATTCTAAAAAAGAAGCTATATTGTTTTTGAAGTAACCCCACAACATTCCAAACGTTTATTTAATAATTAGCGCGCTATTTAGCGCTGCGACCAATAAATGTTTTCGCGCATTTCGCTCAAGATTATAAAAATAGAAACTTATAGTTTTAATAATTGTGATTGGGGCCGCAAAAAAGCTTGGAGGGCCGCAGGTTGAGTATGGCTGATCTAGAATAAAAGAAGATTGATTACAAACCTTTTCGCTATCATTATCTAAAGCGGATGTAGCTTCATCTAACAGCAGAATCTTCGGATTCCTAACCAAAGCACGGGCTATTGCGATTCTTTGTTTTTGGCCCCCAGAAAGCTGGCTTCCTTTGCTCCCGATTCTCGTTTCATAGCCCTAAACAAAGATGTAAATTTGCTCTGAGCAACAAAGGCGGCTCAAAACTGATTTTTCGGGAAGTGGGGGTTATTGCCAATAACAATTCCCTTTTTAGCATTTTTTTTTAATAAAAGGCTCATGGATGGTATGAATTTTAAGCTCGGGGAAGGCGGGGGAGGAAGGGGTTGTTCACTGAAGCCGCCCTTGTAAGGCAATGTTAAATCCAAGGACCAGCAATAATTGTTGGCCAAAAAGAAATTATTGCTAGCAATCAGAGATACATTTCTGGTACAATACGAAGGGCACTACTAAAGTTTGCGGAAAATGTAAAACAAAACACAAATTACGGTATCTAAATCACTTTAAATCTTTACGAATATGGCAATTGCATAAAGCTAGCAATACAATCCGCAATCTTAGCAGTACTCGATTTAGAAATCATATATTCGTAATTACCTTTGGAAGACTAGCAATAAAATTATGAATATTAGCATCCTTTGCAGCTGCAATTATAGCATCCATTTCAACATTCTTAAAATTAGCACCGTATGCTATATTTTCAGCTATTGTTTTATCAAATAGGTTTGGTTCTTGAGACACTACTCCCCACTGAGATCTTAGTAATTTCAAATCAATTTTCTTAGTATCTGTACCACTTATTATAATTTCTCCAGAATTTGGATCATAGAATCTTTGTAACAATTGAATAATAGTAGATTTTCCACAGCCACTAGATCCAACTAACGCGATAGTTTTCCCTTTTGTTACGGTGAGGAAAAGCTCCTTTAGAATTAATTTTGAAGGCCGAGTGGGATACGAAAAATATATTTTCGAATAGTCAATAGTGTCGTTTTCCTAAAATGCATTAATATATTAATAAACATGGTATATAGGGTGTATCTAAATAATACCGAAATTATGATGATTATGTGTAAAAGTTACACAAATGGTTTTTCTGTTTTACTTTCCCTGCCCTGTATATCAAGCTAAAGACACAAACCTTGGTAAATATTATTTGTCAATAAAACTATACTTTCTGAAATTTTTTAAAAACCTGAAGTATATTTAGAAGGGGCTGAAATAGTCAACACCTAAGATATTTTTTCTTACCATTTTTTATTTAAAACAAAGTTTTCGAAAAAAAACTTGTAGGGATAAGAAAGTTAGTAAATCAATTGGGCTTTTCAGCCATATTTTTTTTAACGAAAAAATTTTATCTAAAAAAAGTTGTAAGAAAAAATGTCTTAGGGGTTGACTATTTCAACCCCTTCTAAGCATACTTCAGGGATAAAAAAATTCAAAAGTGTTGTTTTATTGACAAATAATATTTACCAAGTTTCGTGTCTTTACCTCAATATATAGTTTTTTTTAAATCTTCCTAAGGGTGTAACTCCAAGGAGGATTTTTCAAAAAATTTTATACTTAATACCCTGTATAAAAAATAAATGAGTTAAACTTAATAATTTTCAACCATTAATATAAAACAAAAAAAACTTAAAGTAGGCTAATCGCTGTATAATGATCATAGTTCCAGCTTTCTTATTTTTGTAAAAAAAATTAATGTAAGGTAAGCTGGGGTAAATGTAATAATGGAATAAATGTATTATTCAGTAATAACAGTTATGTAGATGTGTTTTTGTGAGGGCGCCATGAGCATGTTTTGTTGTGAGGGAGTATGCTGCTTCTATTCTAGACTGACCACTCTTTGCTGCGACTTGTTAGTCTGCCATTAAAAACGATCAAAGTCATAGTGATTTTTACGCAGCAGTTTTCAGTTCGAGTTAATAAATGCCAAAGCCTATTTCTAGGACTGAGTAAATATTAGACAGGTAAGTTTGATCTTAGAATTACACTTTAGGTGGTATGTTTATTGTGTAAAAATGTTTTTAGCAGCATTTTTGTTTTAGTAATGATTATTGTTGATGGTACAAATGCCCCTAAAAAAATGTGATTCGGGGCTAATGTAACATGTTATACAGGGTGTCTGTAAAAGGTCTTTACAAAAACATACCACATATTCCTTAGACCAAAATAAGTCGATTTAAGTAAAATTACCTTAGTACAAAGTTGCTTCGTTTGGGCTCCAGAGGGCCTTGAAGTTACAATTTTTAAATCGTTTTTCCCATATAAATTTAAAACGGCATATGCGATTTTGCTGAAATTTGATATATCGGTAGAGTTTTATGTGGCAAAAAAATGGTATTAAAATTTTGTCAGATAATAATACATAGGCGTAGAACTTGATTTTTTAAATAATTGCACCTATAAAAATTCTACGCCAATGGAAGAAAAGGAGTTTGAGTATAAAATTTAGATTGCGCAACTCATTTACTTTAAAAAAGGGACTCTTGATAAGACTCAATTACTCTCATGGTTTTCGCTAAATTTCTGTTTTAATAATTTAGAATGTATAGGTTTCACAAAAATATTTATTTACAACATAATCATGATAGAGATTTTACAAAAATTGTTCAAAATGTTCACCATTTTCACGCATACAAAGATTTATACGTCGAAGAAAATTAAAATGTATCCTTTCCATAACTTCTTCATCACCTCTAAGATTGTTTATTGCATCTTGAATACGTTGCCAGAGTTTTTCCTCATTTTCTACAGGTTCCCTGTAAACTGTGGATTTCAGATGTCCCGATAAAAAGTAATCCATCGGTGTTAGGTCTGGGGAACGTGGTGGCCAGTTTACAGGTGCGTCATTACCTCTGCCTATCCATTTGTGTGGATATTGTTCATTCAAGTGGTTTCTAACGATTAAAGAAAAATGTGGTGGAGCTCCATCTTGCATAAACCACATATCTCTCCGAAGTTGGAGAGGTAAATCTTCTAACAATTCTGGCAACGTATTTTGTAAAAAATCCAAATAATTTTCTCCAGTTAATCTTCGTGGAAGTATGACAGGACCAACAATGAAATTACCAATTATTCCAGCCCACACATTAATTTTGAATTCGTGCTGAAAATGGTTTACCTTTATTGCATGCGGATTTTCAACGGCATGTTTATTATGGGTATTAGTTATACCTCTTCTTGTAAAACCCGCTTCATCGGTAAAGAGAACCTTCTTGACAAAGTTTGGATCTCTTTCTCTTTGCATATTATTAAATCGACAAAAACCCAAACGAATTTGAGGATCATGGACTAATAATTCTTGTACAGGCTTCTTATGGTATGGATATAGCAATTGTTCTCTAAGCACTTTATGAACGACATCTTTACTTACTCCTAGTTCCCTTCCAATTCGTCTGGTGCTTAATTCTGGATCTTCTTCAACACGTTCTAAAATGTCTTCTTCAACTTCAGGAATCCTTACAAAACGTTCTCTTCAGTGTTGGGAGCAAAGGAACCGGTCTCCCGAAGACGTCTCTCAACAGCAGCAAAATTTGGGTGGCTAGGTACACGACGATTTGGAAACCTTTCAGAGTACACCCTGACACTCTCTCGTGCATTTCCTTCACAACATCCTAATATCAGTAACATATCGGTATATTCTGCATTGGTATGTACAGCCATATTAATAAACCACGCATTTGTTTTTTAATTATTGAGTCAGAACACTTTCAATCGTTAACAAGAGATTAGGTGTTAAAACTTGACAATATTTTTATTTAGATGAAACTATGGAAATCAACAATAAATGTTTTTGTATACGTATTGCAGGCGAATAATTAATATTCCTCAAAAAATCGTACATGGCAAGAATCGAGTATTTTTGTTAAAAGTCTCGATTAGAGGTGTTGAAGAAGATATGAAAAAAGTACATTTTTATGTTTTTCATCGTATAAAATTTTGTCCGATAATACATAGGCGTAGAACTTGATTTTTAAATAATTGCACCTTTAAAAATTCTACGCCAATGGCAGAAAAGGGTTTTAAGTATGAAATTTGAATTGGGTACTCATTTACTACAAAAAAGTACCCTTGATAACACTCGATTTACTCTCATGGTTTTGACAAAGTTTGTATTTTAATAATTATTGTTTATGTTCTAAAATTACTAAAATGCAAATTTCGTCAAAACCATGAGAGTAATCGAGTCTTATCAAGAGTACCTTTTTTAAAGTAAATGAGTTGCGCAATCTAAATTTCATACTCAAACTCCTTTTCTTCCATTGGCGTAGAATTTTTAAAGGTGCAATTATTTAAAAAATCAAGTTCTACGCCTATGTATTATTATCGAATAAAATTTTAATACCATTTTTTTTGCCACATAAAACTCTACCAATATACCAAATTTCAGCAAAATCGCATATGCCGTTTTAAATTTATATGGGAAAAACGATTTAAAAATTGTAAATGCAAGGCCCTCTGGAGCCCAAACGAAGCAACTTTGTACTAAGGTAATTTTACTTAAATCGACTTATTTTGGTCTAAGGAATATGTGGTATGTTTTTGTAAACACCTTTTACAGACACCCTGTATATAGTAATTGCAACAGCTCATGTTACATTCACCCCTAAAAAAAAAAGGATAAATTGTAAAGGTTGCTGCTCCAATAGTATCTTCTTCGTTTTAAGAGTCATGGTTTGGAACTATATTAAAACGACCAACGGCCCTACCTATAATGAAAATATCTTAAAAGAAGCCTCTTTGGAAGTAAAGGCAGGTCGTTTGACTGCTGGGAAAGCTGAAAGGTATTTAATGATGTACCTTATTCAACAATATACACTAACTGTAAAGGTTCCCGCGGGCAAATAAAAAAAGGAAAAGGGCATCGCACGATTCTTTCACCTCAACTTGAACAGACATTAGCTACCGGACTGAAAACACTAGAAAAATGGGGCTATGGTTTATCGAGGAAGGAGGTGCTACACCTTGTGGGACAACATATGAAATCAAATAATTTACCAACCCCCTCCAAAAATCAGTCACTAGGACATTAGATTTAAAAAACGACATGGCTTAAGCATAAAAAATCCACAAAATATGGAGTACGCCAGGCAAAAAGCTGCAGATCCTTTTACAATTTTTGAATATGTTGATCTTCTCGAATCAACATTAGACAAACTTCAAATTAGAGACAAGCCATCTAATATTTGGAATCTTGACGAATCCAGTCTGTGTATTGATCCTACCAAGATCCGTGTTGTGGGGGAAAAGGGAAAATCTGCAATCAGAATTACTAGTGGTCCAGGGAGGGAAAACACAACAATTTTATTAATGGCGAATGCTGCAGGCGAAAAGGCTCCGCCATTAATTATCTATAAAGGACTACATATGTGGGATCAATGGTATGCTCCGCAAAGATCTGGTTACCCTGGAACTGTTTACGCGGCATCAAAAAAGGGCTGGATGGATATATTTAAAAACTATTTTCAGCGCACTGTTTTACCAACTCTGGGTGAAAATCGTCCTGCTATTATCATATATGATGTACATTCGACTCATATTAGCCCTGAGGTAATACAGTTAGCAATTCAAGAAAACATAACAATTCTTAAATTACCTCCGCACAGCAGCCATTTGCTTCAACCGTTAGACTTGTCAGTATTCAAGCCTTTTAAAGATAAATGTGATGAAAAACTAGTATCATGGCAACGCCAAAATATTGGACATAACATACCAAAATCTCTATTTTCAAAGTTTTTAGGGGACACCTGGAGACTTCTGTCCCCTGAGGTGATACAGAATGGTTTTATAAAAGGAGGAATATACCCATTTGACAAAACAGTCATACCAGATGAAAAATTTTGTCCAGAGGCATTACGTCGTTGGCACAAAATGAAAATAAACCAAGGGACCAATTCTGATAAAACAAAACATCCAGATTATAGGATCTGTTAATGAAACAAGTTAACTTCAAATGCAGAACCACTACCGTCACGTCGTCTACTGCAGATACTATCAAAGATGGAGCAAAAAACTTTGAAACATTGCTATTGGAAATGATCAAGCAAAGCCGTCGACCAGAAAGTGTACGGCGCAAGAGAGTAGGTACAGGCTCAGAAGTCTTAACGTCTCAAGATGTGTTAGAGCGTCTACCAAAAACTAAAGAGGGTAAACAACTCAAAAAACAAAACACAGTTAAATCAAGGTGCCGCAAGAAGGAAAATATTAGTAGCAATGATGAAGACGAAGAGGAAGAAATAGAATACAGAGAATCAGATAATGAAGGGGAGTTACTACAGAATATAGTGCAAGAAAGGGAAATTCAGGACAGAGAAGAAAACGAATTAAATCAAGAAATAAAGGAAATTAAATGGGTTTTAATAAAGTATACGTCAAAGAAGAACACGAATCACTATGTTGGCCGTGTAACACGACGTGTGGAAGATAAATGGGAAATAAAATTTTTAAAACGAATTTCAACTAAACGACAAGATACGATAATGTTTGATTGGCCTCCTGCAGACGATATTGACACGGTAAACGAAGCAGATATAGCATTGACTTTGCCAGAACTACTCGAAGATAGAAGAGGGTTACTGTATTTTAATATCTTTGATGGATCTAATATTTAAAATGTTTCTTATAAACATCTTCTGTAACTTGAATAGAGTAACCTTTTTGTTTTATGTCTTACAATTTAAACTACTTACTTAGTCAAAATTTTAGTTAACACCTCAAGATGTATATGTTAATTTTAAGCTATTGCATAGCTTTTATCGCGGGCTTTGAGCGCGGCGACCGAATCAAGAAATTCCGTAACGAAAAAAACCTAACACCCCCCACTCCGACCGGCACAGCGATGCGGCGTTAAACAATATTAACTTCTCATTTATTCAATAAAAAAAAATCGAAAAATCGAAAATCGAAAAAGAAATTCCGTAACGAAAATAAACCTAACACCCCCCACTCCGACCGGCACAGCGGTGCGGCGTTGAAAGCCGTGCATCGTCTAACGTCGTTTCAGTTCGGCAGACTTCAGCACGGTGTTTGTGTGCGTGGGACTAGACGTATGCGTGTAGACTAGCTGCTAACTGATTCTATCTCTTTTAGACACAATTTCGGAAAAATTAAATTTGAAAATGAATAATGATCTCCAAGAATCCACAACAAAATATGGGACCACCATTGACGCGGTATTTTCCAGATATTTAGAGGATATCAAATCTCACAATTATGTTTCTTATTTCAGTTACCATAAACCTATAGTTTCAATGATAAAAAATCCTGCATAACCTACATGTAATTGTAAGATAATAAAAATATTTTAAACAATATTAACTTCTCATTTATTCAATAAAAGAAAAAAATTTGTTTTCTTATCGGTCACCACGCTCAAAAAGTGTAACTTGAATTAATATCAAAGAAAAAACTTGAATTAAAATCAAAGAAAAAAAAATACTGCATAAATAAAATAAATAAATAATTGTAATTGCATAAGTTGATAAAAAATGCTATGCAATAGCTTTACCGCGGCAGTCCCCGAGTGCCACACGTATTTTTTTATAAATATTTCGGTGTTTTACTTGAGGTTTAGCTGCTAAAATGTTTAATAAATCAGCTTTTTTAGGTTGCATTTGGAAGAGTTGCTATTTTTTAAGGAAAATAGTTTGTTAGAGGTTTTTCCTTCGTTTATGTAATACATTTTCGATTTTTCTCTCTACTTTTGTGTTTTAATAAATGCCACTTCTTTACACGTATTTTTTGAAAAGCTTGTTGCTTTCTTAAATATTAACCGATTTAAATAATTTTTGCACAACATTTTTCGTAATATATATTTCTTTTACATTTACCCCTTTCTGCCAATAATACAACGTTTATCCGCACCTGAAGCTCAAGTGTTACATTTACCCCTTTTTCAGGGGCAAATGTAACATGTTGACATAATTTAAAAAAATATATTCTAAAAACAAAACAGAGACACATTGAATAAATATACTGCTATAAATACATTTATAGATAGTTATACTTAACAAGGAAAAATTGGCAGATTTTATCCTCAATGTTCAATATTTTTAAGATACCTATGAAATGTAACTATTCGAAAAACCTGTTGCATTTACCCAGCTTACCTTAACTTAAGAATTATCTCTTTAATGATATTGTTTATACACTGGCCGAATTCTTCGATTTTTAGTAATGTAAGTATCTATTTCTACACATATGTGTTTCTGTACCTTCTGAGATTGATGTTAACACAAATGGAACTCGACATTAACAAATTGTTTGAACTCGAAATTAACAAATTTTCAAAACTCCACCAGCCTCAACCATTTCAATATTTTTTTTTATTTATTATTAATTTTCTGTTTATCTCATTATATTTTATTTTGATTTTATGCTTATGTTAAAATTGTTAATAAATTATGTAGATTTGGTCGTCGTTTTAAGTTCTACTTTATTATTTTTAATAGATAAGTTTTTATTAGATAAACAAGCATAATAAATTAGGTACCTACAGATAATTCAACAATATTTTGATATTTAATTTAAAAGTATCTTTTATAGACTACAAGACGAAGAATTTAAAGGAGCCGTTGGGAACTTGTATTTCTTTGATCTTTACTAATGTAATTATTGGATTAAGCCTATACATACAGATTCATCCATCGTACTAGGAACATGGTAAACATGATGACCAATTGACGCTTGTCCGCAACTGTCACATTCAAATTTTGTGCTTTTATCGCGGGCGAAAAGTATTTCTTTAGATTTAAAATTAATGTTTACGAAATTGCTGAGAAAGTACAAATTGTGAAATGACATTTTCAAGGCAATACAATTCGACAAATAAGCGGTTTGTTTGAGGCGACATTTCAAAATAGGCCCATACCATCACTCTCAACAGTACATCGTATTGTTAAAAATTTTGAAATTCATGGCTGCGTTTCTCCCAATGAACATAAAAAGGCTCGAGTTAATAATAATCAGAATGAACAAGAAGATAGGGATATTATGATTTGTGCAACTGTGGAAGAAAATACGATGATCTCAGAGAGAGGTTGCGGAAGTTGTAGGTTCCAGTGAAACCACAGTAAATAGAATTTTAAAAAAACATGGATATCGATCTTATAAAGTAAGAAAATGCCAAGAAATTTATGAAACTGACAAAATCAGATGAATGGAATTTAGCGAGGCAGTAATGGATAAAGTTAACAATGACAACAATTTTCTTTACAATGTTGTGTTCACCGATGGGTCGACTTTTCCATTACTTGCCAGGCATAATCCATCCCAAGTCCGATATTGGTCTCGAGAAAATTTACATAAATTTGTAACAGTTCGCACGCAGTTCCCGCAAAAGTTGAATGTTTGGATGGGAATACTAGGTGAAAATGTAATCGGTCCTTTTTATATTGAGGGTAATTTAAATAGTGTTAAATATTTGGATTTACTCAGATACCATATTGTCCCTGACATACGGCTATTGGCAGGAGCTCGATTTAACAATATTTGGTTTCAACAAGACGGATGTTCTGTGCACAATCGTGTGACGGTGTAGCACTTTTTAAATGAAACATTTCCCAACAGATTATTATCAGGGAAAGGTACAATTCTGTGCCCAGCTAGATCGCCGGATCTCGCACCTTGTGATTTTTTTTGTGGGGTTATTGTCTCAGATATACAAATTCAGGGAAGATAGAGCTAACGACTTAGATGAGCTGAAAGTGAAAATTTCAGAAGCCGTTCAACTTATTAGTCCCAATATGTTGGCTGAAGTAAGGCGATCATTTTACGATCGTTTGGGGTACTGTGGGGTACTGTCTTGCCCAAGAAAGAGGTCTATTTGAGCACCTATTACATTAAAAATAAATTCGTGTTCTTTTATTATTGATTGTAATTTATTATTGTCTATTGGATTCCATTTTATAATTTTTATTTTTTTGTAATTTTTAAATCTTAGTTTTGTATTTCTTTTTAATCTTAGTTATGTAATTTTTTAAAGTTCGTTTTGTTTTTTTTTTTGTTCAATGTTTGTTCTCTATTTTTTAATGTTTGTATTGAATTTTTTTCCATTTGAAAACAAAATCAAAGTTGTTTTTTATAAATTTTAAACTGTTGCTGTTCTTACTATTGTGGAGGGTCTCAAAAAAAGAGGAAAAAAAGAAATGAAAAAAGAAAATGAAAATTAATAAAATAAAAAAAAAGAAAAAAAAACGTCGGCGCCGAAAAAGTTGTTCAAAATTTTGTCTATTATTACAAATTCTGGTTGATGGTTGCATTATTAAATTTCGCTATTTTCATGTCTGAATATGTTATGTTTGTTCTTTATCTTCATTTATTTATAAAATATTCATTAATACTCAACTCTGTCGTGAAATGTATAAAGTTATTCCAAATATGTCACATGCGAAAGCTTTGGAATGACAGTAGCGGACAAGGGTAAATTGGTCATCAGTTTGACCGTGTTCGTAGTATCGTGAATGGATCTGTATATGTTTCTGTACATCTTTGGTAAAAAAATACAGTACTTATTATTTTGTATTAGACATAGCCATGCTTTTACAGCGAACATGTGGCAACTACGATATCCCCGCTATCACTATGATATCATATTCGGTTCGGCTAATATCCCATCATCATAATATCTTCTAATTCTGTTCCACCGCGATGACTGGCTCTCTTGCCCTGTTGCCATTTTATTAACTTGTATACTAGTCGTATGCCTAACACGAAAAAATAAGCACTGTATATTATTTTTATTCATTTAAAACTGTTTTAACTCACCCACGAGATCTGTAAAGGGTTAGTACTGTTCCGGATATCAGGTACTCGTTCCAGTAAGCGTATAACTCTTGATGCAGCTATAAGACCTTTTTGAAAATTTGGACAAGCAGCCATCATGTTACCGGCACACCATAGACCAAACAGCATAAGTTCGCATACTCTTAAAATTTAAATCTACATTATAAATTACCACCCTTTATCATCGTTATTATTACATAGACAAAAATTGTTCTAAATCAGGAGTGTCCAAAATGAGGTCCGCTACGACATGGGCCAAATAAATATAGAAATATGATTAAAAATCGAAAATATACACAGGCGAGTCATTCCTTCACCATCTTTTACAGAAACACTTCCGAGGTAGTCGAATTTTGGAGGACATGCAATCTGTACTCCTTCCTTCTGGGGAATCGACCACACAACTCAAGAAGGAGGACTGAAATCTGTATCTGCAACGTGTGGAGGGTGGGTTACCCCCACGTCACTTAGGCCTTATTAGGCCCATTGTGCATCCTCCTAAGATGATAGCCGCCTCCTAGCTCGTGAGCCAGCCTACAGATTCAATGTAGTTGACAACGTCGCCAAGAGGTGCTTCTCTTATATCGGCCGGTGTTAGCCGATACTCGCCGAACACAAATCTTCTAATAAATGAGAGCGTCGAGCAATCGTAAAGGATATGCTCGATGGTCTCATCTTCTTGTTCGCACCCTCTGCAGAGTACGGATTCTGACAGCCCCATGATATGGAGATGCTTCCCTACTTCGCAATGACCAGTCAGAATGCCTGTAACTAGGCGCAGATTCTGTCTAGTTATAGTCAAGTATTTGTTTGCTGCAGTGTTGTCAGGATAACTTGTTTCTTGTTTCATCCCATCTTTCCTTGAATTTCACAAGGGAATATTCTTTAATTAGGTCTGTCGATGTGGCGTGACCTTTGAACCATCTTAAGGTGATCACATTGTTGATGGATACTTCAGCCGAAGCTTCGTGAGATTCTAGTACTAACCCTGAATAAATTCGTGGTCTTTTCAGGATGAGTAGTGCTTGCCTGCTATCTGTATAGATGAGCCACTTTTGGCTCTTCTATTTGTTCTATTATAACTTTATATGGCTTATGGAAGATATATCTCGGTGAAATGGAGTCCATGTTCGCTTGAAGCAGTGGGAGCGTATCGAGCGCCTCCTGCCAAAAGTGACGTCTCGCCTCACCAGATCCTACATCAGGTTCTATTCCAACCGTGCGGAGGCATGTCATTGTCGTCAGAACAACCTCCTTAATGTAAATATCAAGGGGAGTGATACTAAGAATAACTTCCATCACTCTGGTCGGTGTTGTTTTCATGGCTCCTATTATGTTGAGATATGCTGTTCTTTGAATTTGTTCTAGTTTACGGATAGCTGTTAATTTTTGGGTTTTCGGTAACCAGATAACTGCACCGTATGTTAGCACAAGTCTTGTGATAGCCGTGTAAGTCCATGCGACGACTCTGGGGGAAAAACCCCAGGTGCGTCCCACGGTTCGGCGGCATTGTTCATAAGCAATGTATGTTCTTTTAACTATGTTTTCTAAATGCGAGTTCCATGTTAACTTGCTGTCAAAGGTGAGACCTAGGTACTTCACCTCTGTCGCAAAGTTTAGTTTTGTGTTTAGGAGTTCTTGAGGTTTTAATTCCATTTTTATCCTTTTCCTTGTGAAAAGCACCATTTCTGTCTTCTTAGGATTGATAGACAGTGAATGGTCCTAGCACCAGTGTTCTATAATTTTTAGAACTACTTGCATTCTTTCGCAGAGTATGTTCTCAAAATTCCCTGTTTCAGAATGACCAGGTTATCTGCATATGCAATTATGTAGTGACTGTCATTATTGAGGCGGCTAATGGGGTGTCGAGGACAATATTCCACAGTAGAGGTGATAGCACCCCTCCCTGTGGTCATCCCCTCACAACCAAGCTTCTTATATTAACATCTTCAACACTTATGTTTACTGCTCGCTTTGAGAGCATGTTATGTATCCACCTACTAACCATTTGTGGAACGCTCCTGTTGGTTAGTGAGTGTATTATCTTTGGGAAGGTGGTTTTATCAAAAGCACCTTCTATGTCTATGAAAAAACCCAAGGCGGACTCCTTATTGTCCAGGGATTTTCCTATCCGGCCAGCAACTAGATCAAGGGCTGAATCAGTAGATCTGCATGGGGTGTATGCATGTTGAAGTGGTGGTGTTGTAATCACCGCATCCCTTATGTATTTTTCGCATAGCCTTTTCAATGTCTTCATGGAAAACGATGTCAGACTAATTGGTCGGTAGGTTTTTGGGACAGTGTAATCCATCCTTCCAGTTTTGGGTATAAATATCACTTTTACCTCTCTCCATTTTTTGGGGATATGCCTCAGAGCCAACGAGGATCTGAATATACCCACCAGGTGCGGTGTGAGTTCTTCCAGACCCCACTGAAGTAGGGCTGCATAGATACCGTCAGGTCCTGGCGATTTAAATGGAGAGAAGCTGGATATTTCCCATCTAATTTTTTCATAGTCTACAATGTGTTTGGCAGTTTGCCAATCATAGTCAGATGGATTGTATTCTTCCTCTGCCCAGTCGGCCACGTCTGTGGTGACCGAGTCAGGGAAGGGTGTTGACAGCAGAAGTTTGATGCTATCTTCGAGGTTGACAGTTTTCGTACCATCCTCTTTGATTAGCGCACCAATACTTCGGTGTGGATCTTGTGAGAAAGCTTTTTGAAGCCTTGCTGCCTGCGGGAAATCTTCGATTTCTTCGCAGTAGGATCTCCATGCATCTCTGTTTTTGTCTGAGGATTTTTTTGTATTCTCTGAGGTCGAGGACGGAAATTACGTTGCACAAGTTGTCAGTCTAAGTGCCATAGGGCTATGTAGAGCATGCCTGGCGTGAAGATATATCCCGCTAGGATGGAACATAACGAAAGTTGTGTATATACATAAAGCTGGTAGAGTAGATACCTTCCTACCAAACTCCTATCGTCCAATGTGCCTAACATCCTTTTTTTTTAAGATACTAGAAAGAATTATTCTAGATAAGCGTATTAGAGAAAAAAAGCCTACAGGCATGCCCATTAAACTCCCTCCAATATCGACAGATCATGCTCTGTACGATGAACAATCTTGTGAACAAAATCAGCCATTCCCTAATATACGGAGAGATCGCGCTGGGTGCCTTCCTAGTTATAGAAGCCCTTCTTCAGCCTCTGTTCGCTCCTATTGAAAAAAGAGTAATCGACAAACTCAATTTACTTTCACCCCTACTGTGGACCATTCTGGTGGATAACCTGCTAGAAGATCTCTCTCGGCAGGGGGTAAATTTTCAATGCTATGCGGACGGTTCTCATAATTAGAGACAAGCTTCGATAACATAAGTTGACCGGGAAAACCATTCCTTTTGCGGTGTAGGTGAAGTATCCTGGAATTATCCTAGATAAGAAACTCACCTGAAACCTCCAATTGGAGAAAACACCAACAAAGTCAGATTATCTCTCTGGATTTTCAGAAGGATATGTGAAGGATCAGACTCCATTAATTTACTGGATGTACTAAACCGTGGTAAAACTCATGGCTAGAAACGGCTTGGTCCTCTAGTGAGATAACGGACGGCTAGAGCAAAGTTGGCTGGAATCGAGGAGCTTGAGTGCGTCGCCATCACTAGGGCAATGTTGCCCAACCTACAGAAGCCAGTATCTACCCTATTTCTACATTTTTCTAGAAATAGAGGCCAGGATGGTCGTCTATGACAAAGAGTAGTCCATGCAGTCAAGAACTGCGATATGACAAAACGGGGTTGTTGATGAGTGAGATTAATAATCATCACATCCTCGGCATGGTCTCAGACTCGCTAGTTCCCTGACAGCACATAGAAAAGTCATACTAACTCATTCAATGGTATTTATACCCAACCCTTCTATGAACGATTCCGCCCAGATCCAGAAATGAAGTAGAGGAAAGATCTACGCATTCTCACGAGATTGACGACAGGACATTGTCATCTAGGTAAGTATATGAGAAGGATAAGTCTGCAACAAACATCGGACTGTCGATTTTGTAGCGGGGAAGACGAATAGTTTACTACATTTTGACAATTCTGCAGATTAAATTGATAATACACATATAAAGCTCAAACCATATTTTATATCAGGAAGCCAATCAAACAGATGCACCTGAAATTAATTCTGAACCTGAACATTCAAGGTTGCCAACTCCAGAGAAAAACATGATAAACACATCTCACGTCTTGTGTTCACAATCACAGGACAAAGAATGTTCAAATTTCGCAAACGTTAACTTGTAACATGTTTTATTGGGTACGGCCCTAGTAAATGTTTTCCATAAAAATGGTGAAACATCTAAATGTGGTGTTTTGCTAGATTCAGGGTCACAGTGTAATTTCGTCACAAAAGAAATGTGCACTGTATTAAATTTGGAATTTGAATTATTTTGTTTCTTTAACCTTTATTAATACCATAATAAAATTGTGCTTTTGGTCTCTAATCTCTTGGTTTCTTTTAACAAGTTTATGATTTTAATATTTAAGTATGGGTCTTTTTCTAAATTGTATAATATTTTACTTTTATAGTCCTAATACTTTATTGAGCTACTTATTTAAATACATGCTTTTCTTTTTTTTTTGTTTTTACTATCGACCAATATGTTAATAAACATACAATTTGTATTTGTATATTAACCGAAACTTGTAATATTACTGCCCATTTTTAAATTATACTAAAATTGTAAACAAAAACAAAACGAATACTTACGTAAGCACTTTTCCATAAGCAACATTTTCAGTAATGATTAATTGTACACCATACCACAATCCCAGTGGGTACAGCCAAATTATCAAGCTATTCACCAAACCAATTACAATACCTCGTATATGCGACTTTTTAATTGCTACTTTTTGATACTTTAGCAATTCTTTTACATATTGATCGAGAAAAGCTTTTTCACATCCCAATGATGCTACTGTTCTTATGTTACTTATTGCTTCTGCAGCTAGCTAAAAATTAAAAAAAAACATGGATCACAATAAAACAAAAATATTGTAGGATTACATAGGAAAACCTTTGAAGAAAATAGCGATTAGTAGCGAGAGTTGGGAGAGTCTTATATCTGAAAAAAAACCTGAGCTAACGAAAAACAAAGAAAACAGCAGCAATATAAAGGATGAATATTTATTTACTCATATTTGGAAAATAAGAAAGTAATAAATTATGAGCACCTATGCAATAATTAATTAACAACACAGTATCTCAGAGATAAACTGCAATATGTCGACATAGTGCAGTTTTACAAAAGTTATATTTTTAAACTCGGCTCACCGACCCCTTTCCAGGTAGTGATGTAAAATTTTCGAGCACGTATTTTTGGAGAACGTTCCCCGAGCACGAATGAGCATGAACGAGAATAAACAAGTATAAATGAAAACAACCTGAGCATTTATGTTTAGGGAATGGTAAAGTATTCAAAAACTTACTTTTCGCGGTTCTTTCCGAAAATGCTTAAATTTCTCGACTTGCTAAAACTGTTCAATATTCTCCTAACGCTTCATAATAAAATGTCATTGTATATATACTCTGTATTGCAAATAATACAGTAATAACATCTAACATTAAAAAAAAATTATAAGTTAAAAATTGCAAAAATGTAAGTAACATGAAGTAAAATGAGAAAGAAAAGTGAAGTGAGAAAATAGGATGAGATCCAAAAAACAGAGATTTTAAAAATATGAAAATATATAATCCCCAATCTCCCCTACAAATTATGAAAAAGTGAAAACAAACCAAAGAAAAATTGAAAAAGCTGACGAGAATCGGTGTCTGATTGATTTTAAATCTACGAGTTCGACTGTCGCAATGATGTTCTTCAATGGCCTAACTGGTAGAGGCGCCGACGAGTCTAGTCGGCACGTACCAGGTTCGATCTCTAGTCGATGCAATCACTTTTTCTTTTTTTTTAATTCTCAGCTTTGTCAATTGATTTGTTGTCACTTTAGTGATATTTTCATAATTTCATAGGAGGAATTGGGGATTATATATTTTTGTAGGGATAGTTCAATTTATTTATTGTTTATTTATTTAAAACACACTATAATTTACTTATGAGGTACTAATTCATTTATATAATACTTAGGCACTAATTTATTTATTACAATTTAACTTTTCTGTCCAACACTTTATTCGAATCTGCCCTTCCGTCTTCAAACTAGCGATATTTATATCAAGCCAACTCTGTAACCAGAATACTTTCCAGACGCTTTCGAATGTCACCCGAAAATTCCATATCTATTGTTTTAAATTTGAATTATGTGCAAACTTATGTGAAGTAGAATTTGATACCTACCTTATCTAAAGCATGTTTTAAGTATAATTTGTTAGTGGTTAGTGATTTTCTATATTTTTATCACTAATTTAGAGTTAAGTGTATAAGATTTAAATATAGTGGTGCCCAACTTCTTTTTCAAAGTTATTAGAATTATTTAAAAACCTAACCCACGCCCTATAAATTGAGCACAAATACATATATATCAAAGTAGATAAAATAACCATGTATTCATGTTACATACATAAATACACTGCGTGTATAGTACATAAGGTTCTCTCTAAACTAGTGTATAATATTAAAGACTTAGATGGAAAAGACCATGTTTCTGATTTAAAAAAAAGTTGATGTTGATAACGATTTATCTGAGGATGATGATAATGAAGTCATGCCTAACGTCAATATGAATACTTCTGACAGTGAATAATATATTCTGTAATTTAGAATTATGTCTCCTTCCTTGATTTCCATACCGTTCCTCTTAGTAAGTTAAAATATTACTAATTTTCTAGTATACTGTCAGGCCAGAATAATAAAAACTACTGTCAGGCCAGAATTATAAAAACTACTGTCAGGCCAGAATATTGTATCTAGCTTTTTATTATTCTGCTATTACCTACACGACCAAGTAATACCGCCTGTAGTCAATTTTTTCCTTTTACACCATTGGAATATTTGTGTCAGACCAGATATTACCTTCTAACTTTTAATTGTCTGATACTGCTTATTTTGTAAAGTAATTTTTTGTAATATGTATTCAGTTACTAATAGTAATTTAACAAAAAAATGTTCGCCTAATTTCCTAGTTAACATAATTTTCTCTTTACATTTTTCTTTATTTGTTAGTATAATTTTGGATAAGTATTTGAAACTATCTAGTTTGCAATTACCGATTTAGGAGGGTGTCCGAATTATATTAATAAATTTGCTTTTTTTTACTTTCTTTTCATTTGCTTGCTTAACACTGTATCTGTCGGTTCTTATTATAATTCTGTACAAGTTTTTGAAACTAAGACGTCAATTTGCATTTACCATATTAGGAGAGTGTAGAAATATATTTATAATTTTGTCTTGCTATTGAATCCTCAATATCTTTATATTCAATGTCTTTACCTACTTTTTATTAAATTTAGTAAATTACATTCTACATTTTCTTTAGATTTTGAATTTATTCTCTTTATAATTTATTCTTTAATATGACTATTTAATTGATATATTTATTAGGAATTTTTTTTTCTTGATTGGAAAAAAAATTATATATTGTTATTGAACTTGAGTAATATTTTAATTTGTTTGAACATGATTACCTTTTCCTTAAATTCAGTCTTAAAATACTTAAGTTGACTTTGAACTATATTATCTAGAATTTCGTATTTTTCTTTATATGGCTCACTAGTGCATAATTAATTGATTCCGAACCAACTTTAAATTATATTTTAATACAGGTAGTAAAAGTTTGTATATTTTTATTCTTTCTTCAATTATAATTTGAGAATTTATGCTCTTAGCAATATCATTTGATACCTTGTTTTCACTTTATATTGAAAATAATTTAGTTGAGTATTGCATAATTTTATATTTAGGTTAACTTCTTAAAACAGATAACTTGCATTACTATATTTTTTTTTACCTAACTTTATTACTTTGTATGTACCTTTGCTGGTTTACACAGAGAAAAGTGATTGTTATTTACACATGGATGAACAGTCTATATAACTATAAACATTGTTTTAATATGCACTAAAGCTAGTTGACTTCTGCACATTAAATAAGTTTATTAAACCGGGGTGGACTGTATTCCATAATAAATTTGTTACCTGTTACTTATCCAACAGGTTGCTGGTTCGTAGTTTCTTCGACGATCATTAATAGAAAGGCACCTCATCACTGTTTATTTTATTATTGTAATCAGGAAGTTGAACACAACATTAAATTTTACACATTTACATTAGTTGCTCAGAACATTTATATTACGATGAGCGTCTAGCTCTTATATCGTAATTTTTTTCACCAAAGAGGCGTGGGTGGCTTGAGCTCGTTTATGTTGCTCGTTAACCGGTAAATTTGTGTCTGGCCCAGGGTTGTTACGGACTTATTTTTCAGAGTGAGCCATCTGTAAAAAAATTATGCAGCATTGTGCACCTACGATGGTAAAAGTGACAGTTAAAGTAATTTTATTCGAATAAAGAGAAGAAAAAACCGATATTATTGATATTTTTGGTTTATAGTGTACTTTTTTGTGCAGTTTGTTGAAAATGTGTAGCAAAACAACGAAATTGGCGATTGGGGTGCATCTGTGCAGTTTCTCGATGAAATGTATAGCATTCTACACAATTGTGTAGCCTGTAACAACCCTGGTCTGGCCTGAGGTCGCTGAAAGGCGGGCTCGTTCTCACTCTTTTCATAACTTGTTAGAGAGGTACATGCTATTGATTCGCGCTTACATATTATTACCAACTGCGATGGTCTTGGCGAATTGCCGCTAAGCATTTTTAATTGATCATTTCTATTGGATACGGTTTCTGTCATTAAGTATTATAATTGCGTTAGATATTTTTGTTTTGTTCGATTTGTATACCTTACTTTAAATAAATTCAACAGGAGCGGCTTTTAACTATTCTTGTATATAATTCGCCGTATTTGTAATATGTTAAAGGTTTTTTAACACAGATAGCACTCTTTACCTCTACACTCCATACAAAAACAAACAGTACAAGATAGACAAATGTGAAGAGAACAGATAAGGTAAAGAAGTTGAATTACTGACCTAAGCAAGTTGTAATTTCATTCTGTTTAATAATATACATTGATGTCTGTATATCTCTTTTGTAGGGTAGCCAGTGCCAATTGCCTACCCTTAAAGTCAGCTACTTATACAAAATTGTTTTCTTTAACATAAAAAGTGTTAGTAAGTACTTACTTTAACTGAAGCTACCAACATTTTCCTGTTCTTCTTAGCGTCATATTCTAACATCTTTTGTTGGAAATAGGAAACAAGAAAAATTAGCATTGAAAATATAAATAATAACAACGCTACCCGCCATTCGCTATAGAAAGAAAATGCAATAGAGAAAAATAGTATCGAGAACACTTGGCAAATCATTCCCAGCTGATAACCAGATACCTAAAAAAGGAGAGTATTTTAAAGATTAAAAATATATTTTTTCAGCGTTTATGTCCATAAAAAGAAACAAAAATGTTACCTACCCCTTGGATATGCATTGCATCTCCTGATAGTTGAGAACAAAGAGCACCAACTCTATTTTCTTTTCTGTCGAACCATCCGATTTCTTGCTTCAACATAGCGTCAAATGATTGGGATTTAATATTCAAAGACAATTTTTCACTAGCTAGACACAAACTAAACGACTAAAATCAAAACGAAAGTTAAAAATATACCTGAATTTCGTATGAATGAAATTTACCTGAAGAAATGCAGATATCCCTATGACAATACCTAGTATTAAATAATATACGCAGCAAGTATTCATACCAGCAATGAGTTCTTCATCATTTTGATTTGAAAGCACCTAAATTGAAATATTATTCATTTTAAATTATAAAGATTTTGTATAAAACAAATTTTGGAAGTGTCTATGTGCTTTCCCTTGTTACTTTCCTTACTTTATAAAAGTTATACTGTATAAACCTAGACTTTACCTGCATGATGATACCTAAAATCATTCCATAAAATGGTAGAGCAGTTCCAGAAATCACGGCACAAATACACCCTGGAAGAACGTAATACCATTGAGACGAATTCATTTTCATGATTTTCCAAAACACCCTTTTTGATTTGAATTTTTCATCCACCTTCAATAAAATTTGTAAACAGTGTAAACAGAATGGTCGACTCCCGTATCTATAACTTACAACTTACATTTATTCCATCTTTAACTTCTTCCTCTTCTTCAAAATCATTTACTATTGATATTGATTCTACATTTTTGGTGCCGATTTTGCTTATTATTTTTTCTTCATCTGCAATGTTACTATCGAATTTATTTATAAAAATGTTCATATTTAAGTATATATACCTTCAACTTCCTCAATAGATTTGATTTGAGAATTGACCAAATCGTAGTATGCTCCTTTTCTGTCCAATAATTCAATATGAGATCCAACTTCTATAACTTTTCCTTTCTGTACAACAACTATTTTATTTGCTTGTTTTATCGTTGTCAACCGATGAGCTACAATTATTGTCGTACATGTATCACTAACCTTAAAAAATTATATACACCAATAATTATTTGCTAGTAGGACCACTATAATTTGAAGCTAATAAAATTTATAAAACTCTTACCGAATTTAAGGAATCTTGAATTTCTTTTTCACTTGTTGTATCTAAAGCAGACGTTGCTTCATCTAATAGCAAAATTTGTGGTTGTTTAACTAACGCTCTGGCTATCGCTATCTTTTGTTTCTGTCCTCCAGAAATTTGTGTTCCTCTTTCACCAAGCAGAGTTTGGTAACCCATCGGCAAGCTTAAAATAAACGTATGCACATTGGCTTTTTGAGCAGCGTCTTCTATTTCTTCTCGTGTTGCGGTTAATTTTCCATATCTTATATTTTCATATATTGTTGTGCCAAATAAAGCGGGTTCCTGACCAACTACGCCAATAATTTTCTTTAAAGATTTTGAATTTACATCTTTTAAGTCAATATTGTCAATAAGTATCTACAAAATATTATTGCTTTAAATTATTATCAAATTAAACTATTAAAAAGCAATATGTACGATAGTCATATCTTTCACTGACCATAGAACTTAAGTTTTCCAAAAGCTACAAGGCTTTTCTATTAAAGTGTTTAACTTTTCAACTTGCTTCATGAAAAGAACTCTACTTTTTATATAAAAGGACATGAACATTTTTACAAAACTACTAATACTTCACGTATATCAAAAATCAAAATAAACATTTTATTATTATAAAAAGCTGTTGATTCTGTAACCAGAGTGATCATAATTTATTTTTTTAAGTATTTAGTAGCCGATTATATACTGACAAACTTTTAGAGGTGGAAGGGGACATCAAAATAGACATCTTTGCTTAATGAACATATATGTCTGAAAACGATACATTTCCAATAATATACTTGCCCCATGGGAACGCCCATGAAATTTAGAATACACGACAATAATGATAGGTCCAAAATATACGGCATTAAAATATTAAAAAAATTGGTAAAATTATTGTAGCTAAAGATGATTTACAGGAAAGTACACCTTTTATTTTCCAGTGTGACAACTGTGTACAGCAGCAATCATAGTAGTATAACCAGTGTCAAAGCAAGCGTAGCAAACGCAAATACTGATTCATTCATAAAACGCGACCTCGCACCTCAGATAACCAAGCTATCACAAATCATCCCCACTCAAATTAGCAGCCGTCCATCTCTTTCTAATGCGGCAGCCGGTGCAACAGCTCTGGCGTCCTATAGTCTAGAGAAGAAAGGAGTACAGTACTTTAATTTGCAGAACGTAGTACAGGTTCAAGAGGTAGACATTTTATTTATACCGCATCCTTCAATGCTTATTTGTAGTTGTTTTCATTTTAACTATTGATCGGCCTAATAGAAGTTTGTGTTTAGATTTAGATTTTAGGTGTCCATGGTTTTTACTGTAATAAACCTTTTCTTTTGACAGATAAGTCAGACTTTATTTACTTATAGCCGTATTGTATGTATTTTAATTGATTCGGAATTTTGTATTAGTATATATTACAATTTTACAGTTGTATAAGAATGGCGAGTGTATTAGAAAATATAGTAAGCACAAGAACGCGTAAACGACCTAGTGGACATAAAGCATTATCTTTAGACGAAAACAATATGGTACTTAATGTATTTAATAATATTCGAAAAGAGTTTGTTTCACTTTCTGTGGATGAAAAAACCACTAAATATGAGACCTATACTGGAGTATCTAAGCGGACAGTGTATAATATTATAAAAGAAGATACAGTTATTGGAGAAGTCTCACATCTGCAAAAGCTCCCAGGAAGAAACAAGACCTTTATTGAAACTTGGGTAAAGAATGTAAAAAGGAAAATGGTACATACTTTTTTCTTTCGAAATGAAATTCCTGCAGTTAAAAAGTTACACTCAGAAATAAAAAATAGTCACATTCTACCAAATATATCATATTTTCATCTGCAAAACATATTAATGAATTAAATTTTCGTAACAAAAAACGTGACAGAAGCAGCGTTTTTCCAACGAAAGATGAAATCATTACGTGCAGCCATGATTATTTAAGGAAAATAGTGGGCGCAAGGAATCAGCATAAACAGTTATTTTATTTAGATGAAACATGGGTCAATCTGGACATATAGTAACGAAAATTTGTCAAGGTACCTCTATTAAAACAAAAAAAAACAAGCTATTGTGGATTAAAAAATATAACAGGAAAAGGAAATCGTTTAATAATAACCCACATTGAAAGCATCGATAGATTTTTGAAAAATGGTTTATTAATGTTCGAGTCAAAGAAAATTGGTTTCAAAACATTATTTACATAAGTACTACATATATTCAAAGGGCGCCAAAATATTTCCGACATGGGGGGCGGCGGGGGCCCTGGGTTTGGGCTAAATATAAAAATAAATATATTGAGCGATTGAGACAAGAACAACTAAAGATTATCTGACTAAAAATAAGACGAAACATGTATAGGTAAAATGTTACTGGACTCCAAAATACAAGGTGTTAAAGTTGAAAATTCAAAAATTAATGGCTATATAATTTTTTTATTACACAGAATAATTTTGCTAAATTCAGCAAACGTTTTTGGTGTCATTAGATACACCTATCATTAATAAAAACTAATAAAAATTAATAAAAAATTATTATTGTTTTGGATAAATGCATCCTATCACAGTCGATCAAAGGAGTCACTATCTACAAGATGGACAAAAGACATTTCAAAATGGTTTCATTTTAAAAATATTATTAGTCCTCCTAAATCCTTGAATGCAGAATTACTCGTAGTAGCAAGGCAACAGAAAACAAATTCAAAAAAAATATTGTTACGCAGGTTTTTAGTATCTCAATTTATTTCAACTCAACTTTAACAATAATTATACAACTGATAACATTGACGTATAACGTCTTTCATAAAACTGAAAAACTGACGTCAGGATCACTGCATATATAGCTTGCTTTAACCTCGAACCTTCTCGAAATGTCTAGACTTTTCCTTGACGTGGAATGGCATTTCCAGACATTACTGGACTATTCTATCTTCTTTTGCTAGTACTTTTACTTATGACGACCGCAACACACTGTAGGGCGATGAGTAACATTGCATTTCTTTTTGTATTCGTACGTTTCCTATAACAGCCGTATGCTACTTCAGGGTGCTGCGTAACATTGTTCCCTCCTATCTAGTTATTCGTCCCGAATAACTTGATTACCGGGACGTAGATGGAGCCAATGGGGAGGATCCGGATCACGATATGGCGCTAACTTTTCAATGTGAACTACCTTGGGTTTATTTCCCGCTGACAACTGAATGAGGTAGATCAGGTCGTTGATTTTCTTGAGGATGGTGTAGGGGCCTTCCCAGTTCCGTTGCAATTCCTGACAAAGTCCTTTTCGACGCTTAGGATTGTGCAGCTATACTGGATCGCCTCTCTCAAAATGTGTTCCTGTGGCATGAATGTCGATTCTAGTTTTTGCTTTATCGCTATTAACTTTCAAACGTTGCCAAGCGAATTCGTATATCTTCTCTAATCTTTCTCTTGGGAGGTGTACGGCCCTTTTTTTCACCAGGAGGCTGGCTTCCAAAAAGAAGTTTTATCATGATGGATGGAGTATAACTGGTCGTTTTATGTTCATAACTTCGGTAGGCTAGCAGAAATAGAGGAATTAAATTATCCCAGTCCTTTGGATTATCAGAGACGAACATTGAAAGATACTGGCATATCTCTCTATTGTGTCTTTCTACCATTCCATTGGACTGTGGGAGAAGAGGCGTAGTGCATGTTTTCCTGATGCCTAACAGTTCCATCAATTCTTGCCATAATTCGGATTCAAAATTTCGTCCTTGGTCAGAATGTAATTCTAGGGAGGCTCCGTGTCTCGCAATAACGTTCATCATAAATATTTCTGCTACTGTCGTCGCTTTCTGATTAGGAATAGGCACTATTTTGGGCCACTTTGAAAAATAATCCATAACAACCATCAAGTATTTGTTTCCTCTTTCTGTTAAGGGAAAAGGTCCGAAGACATCTATGGCGATTCGTTCGAAAGCCTTTCCGGAAAGGTACTGTGCCACTTTATCTCGACTTCTTGTTTTGAGCCCTTTTCACTATATTTCCACTATATTTTCGGTAATATGAGCAATGAGCATAGTCCAAGAAAATTTCTAATTTTCTTTTTGTCTCTTGGTTTCGGCCAATCTCTGACAGCTGCAATTTTCTCCGGATCAGTTTTGATTCACTCTGCGGAAACGACAGTGAACATTTAGTAGATGTTCTTTAAAAGTTTTTGACATGATCATTATGTCATCGAGATATACTATAAGTTTTCTTGGTTAATCCTTTCAGAACCATTTTCATTAGACGTTCAAAGGTATCTCGGGCATTACAGAGACCAAACGGGAGGACCTGAAATCTGTATAATCCACTGTCAGTTGAAAAAGCAGTTTTGTCTCGATCGTCAGGATGTACTTCCACTTGCCAGTATCCGTTATTCAAGTCTAGCGTAGAAAACCATTTTGCACCTGATAGTGTTTAGTCTATCATCTATTCGAGGGAGTGGATAGCTGTCTTTCTGTGTTATCTGATTTAATCTTCTATAGTCTACACAGAAACGAGTAGATCCGTCTTTCTTAGTTACAAGAATCACAGGTGAGCAACAGGGACCAGAAGATTCTTCAATAATATTTGCATCCATCATGCCCTGTATCATATTTTCCACTTCTCTCTGTTTAGCCAATGGGAGTCTTCTTGGCGCTTGCCGTATGGGCCTTGCATCGCCTGTATAAATTCTATGCTGGACAAGACTTGTACGCCCTGTGGATTTTCCTGTCAGATGGTCATAATTTTGAACCAGACGTTCCACAAAGCTGGCGTCAACTGGGTTACTTGTAATGGCTTTCCCCGTAGAACCGTCTTCGCACTTGATTGGCAACCCTTACAGGAATTGATTGATCAACGTTAACGAGACATCTAGCTACCAGAATTCCTTCACTCACAAATTCTTTACTTTCCACAATACCCACACATGTGATTTCTCGCTAAGCCTAGCCGAGACAACAGCTTCAGCATTTTGTGGTACTTCTGTCTTCTGCCACTAGGACTTTTATCGGTTGAGTCTTTTCCTCCGAATTTAGGACAATTTCCTCGTTCCCAATTACCAAAATCTTATTTTGAAGGTCGATGATAAACTTATTTTGCACAATGTCCATACCAAGGACGCATTGGCCGATACCAGGAATAAGTGTTCTATCAGGGTATTACCAATCTGTATGGGATGGTATCTCGCCTAAAACAGGAGTAGTGTGCCCTGCAGCGGTTTCCAGAACTAAACTTCTTTGAGTTGGTCTTAGTTTTCGATGCAGGATCCCCGTTCGAATGAAATACTTAGTTGCACCAGTATCTATGACGAAGGTGCTTTTTTGATTGTCGATATTTTGTTCATTTTTATTTATGGTGTAAGTTCGAATTTTAGGGC